GAAACATGAGTAGTACAGGAGAACTGCTATTTATAAACAAGCGCATGAACATGTACGATACGCACATGTGTGTATCTATGTGTAGAATGTACCAGCATTGTGTTTCAATCCATACGTTTTTCAATATTTCTTTCTATGACGAGAACCTAAAAATGGCTGAAATATTATTGATGTAGTACAAGTGTCGGTGTACTAGAAACAATATCTTTGATCCAAACAAACATGCATTTCAATGTTACTCTAAAGTGGTGCGCAAACGCTAAAGGTAACATTTTCGCGTCTGATATCTTTTCATATAAATTATTTTATATATCACGGCGCTCTACACACGTGGATCTACCTAAAAGCTGGTAACGATTTTGACGATATGAAGGTACTGACCAGGACGAGCGTTATCCTCGAGCTGGGCATGTTTCAATAAAGATAATTTGTTGTACAGAATTTATGTCATATAGTGTAGAGTTTAGAATTTATGTCAAATATAATACCATAAAAACTAGCTATGTAGTACATACTTGGATGATATCGAGTTTCACTAAGGAAAAAATAAACATCACCATTAACTCCGCCACTAATACCCAGATTAGTAAGATCTTGTGATGATGAATTATATTCATACTGCCATGTTTTACCAGAATAATTTGTTGCTATTGAGGGTATTATGTGAAAACTATTTTGTGAATTACCTTCGTCAGTTGACCATAAATATTCATCATCTGTTAGATTTGCATGTAATATTTGTGTAACAAGACAACATAAGAAACTAACTAACAAGCACTTCATGGTTATTATTATTGTTTGTCATGTGAATAAACAAAATTCTCACAACTGAGATAAAAAATCTATGTACAGACACGAATTTACATACACATGGCCTATTCTTTTGATTTTTTTGTATGGAAACCGTATTTTATTTTTAAATATACAATAAAATCCAAATGTATTACCAGCTGCTAATTCTCTCATACAGTAAAGTATACATACTAAACGTAAATTAATTTTTGTAATAAAAAGGATTAAGTAACAAAAACTTTAAAGTCAAAACATCCAGGTCACTTATTGAATAAGCAAACTTATACTTTTGCTAAAACTCAAGGTAGTTACAACAAGCGCAAAGATGATAAAGAACGTAATATATGGTTTGAGAGAGAATATAAAAAATAGTTAACAAATGAGGCTGTTTTCCAGAAATGGGCAAGCTAAATCAAAATTACTTGAAGTCAAGTCACTTTGATTTGTGATTATAAAGAAAATCAAGTCAGTATACAATAAATTCTATTACAATACTAGTCGAAGTCTAGGACTTTACATGCTTCAGAGAAACGGCAAATATACTTATTTTAAGAAAAGTATACTATAAAAATTTACACAAACTCTCTATCTTTTACCATCAAAACGAAGTTTTCTAATCAAAGTTAACCTGTAGAAAAAATCGGTGCAAAAATCGACCATTTAGCCTTTCCCATCCGTCATATATCAATAGTTAGATAAGATTTCTAAAACATTTTTGTTTTCTCGCACATTTTATCCTTACAACTAGTAGATTGGCAATCAAGAATTAGTCCCCACTCGCTATTGTAATAGCCAATATAAAGCTGTTGTCGGAAAAATATATGAGCTTGTATATTTGGATGAAACTGATGTAAATATGGGAGATCGAAATAATATTCTTTAGTGTACAACCAAGTGTAATGGAAGCCACAATTTCATATTTTCAAGATACGGCAGACCGGAATTTAACGGATACACAGATTGTCGGTCACCCTAACTCGTACAGTGATGTTTGTTTTCGGAGAAGTATTAAAAGTCTATTGGAAAACAATGTAGACCTTTAACTTTAACATGGATGTACCAAAGAACTGTAAGGTTCAATGCAATAGTTATTTCAGCGGCAGCTATAATAAAAGTGTCTTCGGGTGTAAAGGGTTAAAGTAATTACTTTTCTAAATACTTATTGTTTTACGTTAAATATTCAACATTTCAAGAAAGGTATTAGTGAATAAGTTTTCGCTGATTATCTAGGGGCTACCTAAAAGAAGTAACATTAGTTGTGAATGATCCGATACTAATGCGATATTCCAAATGACTGTTATGAACAGTATTTCACCAGTTTATGTGCTCTCTAAAAAATAGGTAGTTTTTAAAACCTGAACGGTATGTTATTCTTGCTTCTAAACCCAAAGGCGTATAGTATCATTACTGAACCGTTTTGGTTTTTTAAAATACTTTTCCAAAAAGTATTTTAAGAAAATAAAAGGTTTTTCATCAATGCTACAAAACCCTAAAGGTATTCTATTTTCGGTAGTTTATTTAGTCCTTGACCAAAATGGTTTAGGAATTGAATTGAAAAATCTTTGGAATTTAGCAGTAAGTAATAATTAAAAACCCTTTTGGATCTGTAAAATAGTAAAAGGGTTTATATGTCAACCCTTTGGGTTTAATAACGAAAATAGAATACGTTTAGGGTTTTGTGACATTAATAAAAAGCCCTTTATTTTCTTAAAATACTTTTCCAAAAAGTATTTTGAAAAACCAAACGGTTTAGTAACGATACAAAATCGTCAAATAGTTGCTCAAATGTGTTACTATACCGTTTCGGGTTTACAAACAAGAGTAAAAAACCATTCGGGTTTTTTAAACTACTAATATTTTTTTAGAGAGCACTACTCTTGTATTTTGGCGCCGACAGTAGTCTTGTAGCCCTTTACGAATACTACAAAACTGTATTATTTTTTAGTCTTGGGCATAAAAGCATCCCATTTAAAGTACTTTACAAACTATACGAAGGATACCAAATACTAGCAAAAGATTCTAAAGAAAGTATGATCGTGAAAGACATTGTTTGATTCAGTTTTATCTCCTGATTACAAATATCTCATTAGTTTAGGAGAACGTTTTTGAAGTCGAAAAATCGTATTTGTTTCTAAAGTAGACCAAAAAAATATACCGTATTTTTTATATTGAAAAACGTATAGTTCTCAGAGAACAATTTATTTTTTTATTTTCGATGTCATGATTTGCAGCGCAGAGTGTAAAGGATGTTTTCCTGCAAGCCGGCTCTTGCGGCATGCTTTTGTTTATGGAGCTATAGCAGTTACTGCCCATCATGTTTTTGAAAAATCAAGGCTTTCTTTTATCGTTCGACCATTGTTTTTACTCCCTTACTTTCCACAACGTACTGACGAGAGATTTACATGCACAATAATCTAATGGTGAGAAGCATTTTTCAAAATAATGACAGGTCATTGAAAACAAAACTTTTTTCCGCTTCTACAGTATTTGGCATTTACAATATACATAATGCCACATATAAACATAGAGTTGTCATTTCAACAATATGATGAGCTATTAGTAACCTCTCGAATGGGAACAATTTACTTAATAATTTCTCAAGTGAGAACATTTTTGTCATATACATACACATTCTCAAAGGAGAACAGTTGTAAATTGAAAGGTAATAGATTAAAGTATAAGCTAATTAAGAAGCTTCTTAAAGCTCTGAGCTGGAGAAAGAATAATGCCGAAGAGACTATTTAGATCACCATAAGGCAGTTCAAAGATTGAAGAATACCAGGACGATCAACATGTTGAACGTTCAACCTTATAAAAACGATGAACTTTGCAAAGCATTACCGAGAAACCAAAAATTTCATTACCATTTGTTACTGAAGATACTACGTAGTAAAGATGGTCATAAGGCGTTATTGTATAAAACGTTTAGAAAAAGTGTTTGAAAAAAATAAAAACGAGGTTGTTCTGTTTTCTTTCGCTTTTGTTACGCAACTTTTAATACGTTTTGAATGAAAGATTGAACACTGTCGATTCAATCTTTCGTATCGGAATCTTTACCATCTCTGAGAAAAGAATGAGATATTTCAAGAAATCAAGAAAGTAGTTTTAAACAAATGACAGAATAAAGAGTACAACACTGCCACGATGAACATTTCAGCTTAAACACAATCCACTTGAACAGTTTATCTTGCGCTTTCGGCGCAAGCTTTGACGATTATCAGACAAGTGCATGCGAACGAAAACAGCAGTATTATAAAGGTTAACAGCACTACACCACTTCTTGTTCTAAAATGACAGCAAAACAGAGCAGAAAAAATATGCTTTTTACCTTTCCACTATTTTTATTCTTTCAACACAAAAAATAACATCACATGAGAAGGCTGCCCTTGACGTTTTTCGTCTTACTGTATTCTTTGTAACATTTACGGATGTTTACCTCTGTAAAACTTAAAGATTTTTTACCGGTTTGAAATTACTGTAGTAAAATTTGAGATTGTAACTGAAGCGTCGGTAACAGTAATATGTTTTACCGCTATCGCTCATCCCTAGTGATATATCTCACGTCAACCACAAATAAAAGTTTTTATAATTTCATGACTCAATTCTTATCAAAAATTCCACAAGAAAACGAACTCTGCTCAAAAGTAGCGAATTACCGATCATACAGTTTAGATTTCAAGGTAAACCTGTGTTTGCGGTATAAATTCTTGTTATGGTATCTAGTTCAATTTTGTTTAAGTATCTCTCAACTGTATATCGTACTTATGATATCCAGCTTTTAGTCAGTGTCTATTGATACTAGTTCTACTGGAATGTTATGTAGAAGTTCAGTCTAGGAGAACTAAAGTTTGTTTACCTTCTTTTCAGACTAACGAATAGCTATGAGCGTTGAAGAATTTGAGTTTTTTTCAAAATACGAGGATGAAGCGACCGGTAGGCTAAAACTATTTGGAAGAAATTGGGGCTGTTCAAATGCGAAAGCTGTCATTCTTATGGTGCACGATTTTGGTGAACATAGTGGCCGCTATGCCACGTCGATGAATTTTTTAATAAACATAACATAGCATTTGTTGCCTATGATACACGAGGTCATGGCCGATCGAGCAGTGAACGTGGTGTATGTTTAAATTCGGTAATGGATGATATGGAAGCAGCCATAGCAAAAGTATGTGAACCAAAATATTATCCTGATCTTCCACTCGTTATTTATGGTAATGGAACCGGTTGCATTATCGCATATTCAACGACGTCGACCAAAATCGTCCCTCTATCAAGCAATGGTGTTATCGACACCATCAATTGCAATATCACAACGGCCGAGTTTTATTCAATATATTTTAGTGAAAACATTTGGTTATTTAGCGCCCTATTTTCGTTTATCACTCAGTGGTAATAAAGATAAAAAGGAATACTCTTCAGATAAGAGTGAAGTCGAAAAATATCGAGTTGATACATTAGTTTATGATCGCTGGCCAGCAAGTACAGTTTCAATGTTTTTACAATTACGTTATGAATTTGAAAGTACTATAATTGTGTTTCCCGTTCCAACACTTATTCAACACGGTAGCAAAGATACAACCACACCTGTCAAACGTATACGTGCATATGGGCTAACAAAGCAAAACGACCAAGGAAATATGAAGAACGGAAAGGTTTTGATCATGAATTACATAATGAACCAGAGAAAAAAGTCTATTTAAATATATTCTAGGGTGGATTAATACTACGCTCAATTTAAACATTGAATCATCCCAATATCCTGAGATTGTACCGTTGAAAGTTCCTATCAATGAAATTCCGAAAGAATAAACTGGAACGTACACGGAGAAAAAAAACTGTGAAACTCATCACGGTTTTAATACACAGTTTCTCGCAGTCAGTTTGGCATGTTCTTTTTTCACGGTTTTAGTTGTTCATACATTTGTTTCCTATGGTTCCAATATGACAGTTTTAAAACCGTTAGGAAAACCGTCCAGGTAAAACCGTGCTAGTAAAATCGACTACTTTGAAAGGGAAGAAAAACGCCAGCTCCTCCAGGAATCGAACCTGTTACGCTTGGCGAGTATGAATTATGAGACCAAGACACAAACCACTGAACTGAGGAACTTACAAAAGTATGTCTTCGCACTGCATGCTCATCATGTTCTCGGGCAGACTTCTATAAAAACTCAACACCCTGCGAAAAGTTATTGCTGTTGAATTTGTTAAGCTCCTCGCTATCCCTAGAAGCGTTCCCACTTCATTTCGCGGCAAGAATACAGCCTCATCTTGCCGCGATTTTGACAAGAAATTTGAAACTTAACGCGGGATCCATACCGCGATCGTACCTGATCTTACTATTTTTCCCGTGTAACGAAAATTTGACAATCTTGACGCGAAAAGTTTTTGGACGGGATCGCGCTGAAGTCCTACAAAGATTGCAATGGGATCCGGACAAGATCGTACCAAGATCCCGATATGATTAGAACAAGGTTGCAGGAAGGCTGAGAAAGGTTTGCAACCGCTTATCTGATTGTATTTACATTCTTTCGATGGTTTAATCTCTTTTCCACCAAATTTCATCATGTTTTACTCGATATTTTCTTCGAGAACATGAAGTAAGTAGAGATTTTCGCCTAGAACACCTTCAGAGTACACAGCAATTTATTTTTTTTGTTTTGAGTTATAAGTTCCATTTCATTTCAACGTTACAAAGTTGAACTATTATTGATTTGCTCATCTAAAGTGTGATATTGTTTTTGCCGGTGAAAAGTTTTATCTCAGATGTATCTTTAGCCTCTTCGTCGGTGTATTTTTCAGTTCCGATTCGAAACGTTACTGCCGTTGAATTTCAGAATAGAAGTGAGAGGGACTGTCTTTGTGTCTCATCTGTGAGTTGTGTCAATAAAGTAACGTTTGCCGTATGTGAAGAAAACACTCACTCTTGAACTTTCAGTGAATGTGTATCTGTAGACACGTGCCACTCGGTTCAGTTCGCTGCTAGAGCCAATCTAGCGTCCTGTGATTGAGATGCTCTGGCTGTGCCGCTATGCTCTGTGCATCAAACAGGATCGAAATGTTCGTTGATATATTCTGAAAGACTCAAACGGCAAAGCGATCTAACACCGAGGTAACCCACAATTTGTGATATTTCAACCTTGTGCATTTCTCTTACTGTTGTGACTTTTCATTCTGAGATCTCTGCACAGTCAACGTATTTAACTGAACCTACACATCGGAGAAGACTTTAGATTTGATGCATTGTCGGAGAAAGAATATTCTCTTTCGATTCTAAAACTGTCAAGAAGAAAATAGTTCAACTTTCAGACAAAAAAATTAATTTTCCTCTCCGAATGTTCTTCTCTCTCGAAAATTACTGTGTACTTACTAAAGACAATAGTCAAACAGTTAGTCTATTTTCATTAACTACAACAAAACCCAAAAAATCCTTGGAGAAAAACACTCGTTGCACTGCGTTAAAAAGTTAAGAAATGACTATAATTGACTTGTATTGTATATCTATTACACATGTATGTTAAAAGAGAACAAAGAATAAACATAGTGGACGATGATATACGCACACTGTCTGTCTGTTTTTCTTCTTCTATCGACGAATGGACGAAATAAAAAAATTAGAGTTTTCTCTTTTAGCGTATCTTTATGTTTTTCTTGATGTCGCATACAGATCACCTTTTCTTTTCTATATGTATCCTCATGTCTGACATACACATATCTACATGCGACATCAAGAAAAACATAAAGATACGCTAAAAGAGAAAACTCTATTACATCGTTAC